TCACTAAGCAGCTTGAACTCATAGTGATCCTCCTGTTTTCAGCCTCCCCAGCGCTAGGATTACAGGCGTAAACCACTATGCCTGCCTACACTCTGTGGCCTGCCTATCCCACAGTGGGCTAGTGTGGCATGGAGTGCTGGGGATCGAACCACAGTCCCTGCACTTGCCTAAGCAGCCCGCTGAGCTATCTTGCAGGCCCAGGTTCATGCAGTGCTGTACGAGGGCTCTGGGCAATCTTTTATGGTGCTGATGTTTGCATAGCCTCCTAGGTGACCTGACTTGTGCATGATTGTGGGGCATGTGGATGCAGTTGCAGGGACCCAACTAAGAAATGTTAGCAGGGAGCCAGGGCTTAATTCAGCCTTCCCAGAGATTTTTTTTTTTTTTTTTTTAAAGACAGCGTCATGCCATGTAGTCAAAGCTAGGCTAGTTTTGAACTTAACTATGTAGTCTAGACTGACCTCCAACATGCACCAATCCTCCTGCCTCAGCCTCCAAAGTGCTGGAATTATGGGCTGCACCGCCATTCTTGGCTGATACTTCTGAGTGAGAGCTCCAGAAGGAAGGCTCAAGATGTTTCCAGGTAGCAGAGAGGGATGGATGGAGTGAGTGCAGCAAGCCAAGACAGAGAACTGGAAGGTTCTGCAGGGTATGTGAACCATGCTGAAGACCCTGATGCTTCAGGGCCTCTATGGGGCTGGAGTGACTGTGGCCAGGCCAAAGAATTTGGCTTAGGGGTGGGGTTGGATGCAGGAAACCCCATTAATGGCTATTCAAGGAAGCCAACCAATTACCTACCACCTGCACACACCTCAGTTAAGGTTCTAAGGTTCCTGGAAGGAGGCTGATGCCCTCCGTACAGGAGCTGTACTCCCCTCCCCCCCCACACAAGCCACATTACTGTTGCAGATCTGTGGGAGATTCCATTTTTATCCCTATGGGGTGGCACAACTCTGCCATTCTCAGGGTCCTGGCTGAGTCAAAGAATTAAATCGACTGATGGATTAACAAAGACAAAGCACAAATTTTAATACAAGATTTTACATGGCACAGAAGCCCCCATAAAGAAATGAAGTGCTAAAAGAAATGAAGTTCCTTATGCAGGAATCCCTTTTATCCATGGCTTTGATTTCCATGGTTCAAGTTACCTCTGGTTAATGATAGTCTAAAAGTGTTACATAGAAAATTTCAGCTTGGTGTGGTGGTGTATGCTTTAATCCCAGTGCTTGGGAGGCTGAGGCAGGAGGATCACCATAATTTTGAGACCAGCCTGGGTTACATAGTGAGTTTAAAGCCAGCCTAAACTACTTAGCCAGGTCTTGTCTCAAAAGATAAAACAAAATTCCAGAGAAGAGAAACCTAAGTATATTGGCCATTATCTCATTAAAGTTACCTGTTGGTCATGTGAATAGTTCAATCCGGCCAAGTTCTTGATTCTCATTATAGGAGGTATTACAGCTAGGCTCCCATCTAAGGCCTCCATATGGTGTGAAAAACATAAGTATTTAATGAGAAACATTTTTATGGAAATGAAAGAAAACAAAGATTAATGGCTTGAGTCAATATAAACCTAGTTTTGAGTCCAAAGTACCATCAATTGTGAAGGTTTAGGTTTGAAGTTTTTCCAAGGCAGGGGGTGACGATAAATTGCCTACTTTGTGGTTTGAATGTTTCTGGTGATGTTATTGGGTTTTCTGGTAAACTTTGCAAGTAGCTTATATAGTAGTGGGAAGAAGGATGTGCATACATGACCTGTTGTGATTTCCATGAAGTTTGTGTTAATCTGTCTAGTTTAGCTCAAGACATTCAGGAAAATGGAAGCCTTAATTTTGTTTTTGTTTTGGCTGAGATAGGTTTTTTTTTTTTCCATTTATGTACTTGATACAGGGTCTCACAACGCAGCTCGGGCTCATAGTGATCCTCCTGTTTTCAGCCTCCCCAGCACTGGGATTACAGGTGTGTGCCACCGTGCCCAGACTCGTCACCGACTCAGCGCACCCCAGGACAGTGCCAGCATGCAGGACCAGGGATTGAACCCTGGTCCCTGCGCTTGTCAAAGCAGACGCTTAGTCTGCTGAGCTATCTTGTGGGCCCTGAGATAGGTTTTTGCTCTGTTGCCCAGGGTGGTTTCTAAATCTTCAGCTCAAGTGATCCTTTGTCCCTACCTCCTGAACAGGGATGCATTATGGTGCCAGGCTTGGTTTAAGTATATCCACTGAGTTGCACATCATCATAATCAATTTTGGAGCATTTTTGTCATTGGCTGCCAATCCCTTACTGGTCTGTCTCCCTCTCACTAGGCCACTTATAATTTACTTTTTGTCCCTCTAGATTTACCTATTCTGTATAATTCATATAAACAGAATCATAAAACATGTGGCCTTGCAACTGGTTCTATTAATGTAGTATACTTTATTTTTGTTGTTGTTGTTTCAGACAGGTCTTGTCATGTAGTCCAGGCTGGTCTTCAACTCACTATGTAGCATAGGCTGACCCCGAACTTGCAGCAATCTTTTTGCTTCTACCTCCCCAGTACTGGGACTACTGGTGTGCATCAGCATGCCTGGCATCATGTAGTATATTTTCAAGTGTGAACCATGTATCAGTAGTTTTGCTTTTTTAAAGAACAGTGGTGCCAGGTGCGGTGGTGCATGCCTATAATTCCAGCACTTGAGAGGCTGAGCCAGGAGGATTGCCATGAGTTCAAGGCCAGCCTGAATTACAGAGTGAAACCCTGTCTCAAAAATAAAAGGATCACAAAAAGAAAAAAGAAAAATAGCATTAGTGGAAATATAATTTATATACCTAAAATTCTCTCATTCATAGTTCTATCTACAAGGCAATTATTTTAGTATATTCAGAGAAGCACAACCATTACCATAATCAATTTCACAACATTTTTATCTCCCTATATTTCATATTTTTTATTGTTGAGTAATCAATATTCCATTGTTTGGACATGCCACATTGTGTTTATCGATTGGTGAGCATCTACTTTTTTGGCTATTATGAGTAATGCTGCTATGAACATTTGTGTACATGTTCTAAGGTGGATATATGGTTTCATTTCTCTTTAATGTATACCTAGAGGACAAATTACTGGGTCATACAGTAACTCTGTGATCAACCTTTTGATATGGCACTAGATAAACCAAATGATATTTTTATCTTTTTTATTTTTTGATATTTTTATCTTGATGTTTTTACTTAACATTAATCATGTGGGGCCGGGGATACGACTCAGTGGCACAGTACCTGCCTGGCAAGCGCAAGGTCCTCAGTTCAATTCCTGGTACAAAAAAAAAAAAAAAAAAATTAATCGTTTATTTTCATGAATTGTTCAATGTTCTTTGAGTATGTGGCTTTTAATACTGGCAGAATTCAGACCAGGCATGGTGGCACATACTTGTTATCTCAGCACTCAGGAGGCCAAAGCAGAAGGATCACTGTCAGTTCAAGGTCCGGCTATGCTACATAGTGAGTTCAAAGTCAGCATGAACTACATAGTAAGACCTTGTCTCCAAACCAAACCAAAAAATATTGGCAGAATTCAAGTTTTTGGAAGGATTTCTTTTGCTACTGGGAATTGAACTCAGGACCTTGTGCTTGCCAGGCAGGCGCTTGTGCCACTGAGTTATATTCCCAGCCCCCAAACCTTAGTTTTTGAACATTTACAATTACTTTCAGTTTTCATAGTTATAAACAGCATTTTCCAGGGCACATTTTCAGGCATGACTCTTTTTATGAATCTCTGATTATTTCTGTACAACAGCTTAATCAAAGGATTGGACCAAAGGGCACAGGTAGTTCTAGGGCTCAGTCATAGTAATAAATTACCCTCAAAGACAGTTGTGACAATTTTCATCCTTACAGTTAGAGTTTGGGGATGCCAAGTATACAGCTCCTTATATTTTGTCTATGAATATCACCAGACCATGAGCATTGGAAAGATGGAGACATCTTTGACCTTGCATCCAGACTGCTGAGTAGGGTTTGTATTATGTGAATAAGTGGTAGCAAATAAAAGTGTAGATTACTGCAAGAGCCAGAGGAAGACACGTATGCTGTGAATTAAATGGCCCCACATGGAAGGCGAAACTTACTGGAGGAAATGAAGAAGCAAGTCTGAGGTCATTTAGGTGCAGATGCTGGAGGGTACTGTCTGAAGATTGGCAACAACTCTTTTGTACTCCACTCTGTGAGCACCCCTCTTTATGCACAGCCCTGGGAGAATCACCTTCACTGAGCTAGCAAGGTCGTCAAACTTTCTGTTTACCTCGATATCCTAAGGAGAAACCCATCACAAGGCGGTCAGTGTGTGAGTACTCGCTGAGAAGTTCATTATTTTTATGCGCACATGCACAGTACCAAAGAAGCCCCTCTGGGTGGTTTCCCTCCCGTGTGTACTTTTAGGAGATGCTCTTGATCTGGGGGCTCATTATATGGGCATATACTATTTGCAATCTTTTTTTTTTTGTTTGTTTTCTTGCGGAACCAGGGATTGAACTCAGGCCCTTGCGCTTGCCAGGAAAGCACTTATTCTACTGAGCCATCTCCCCGGCCCCACTATTTGCAATCTAACCATAAACTATGTGCACTTTTTAACATAGTGATTAAATTAATCAAAAATGAAAAACAAAGGGGTTGAGAAGAGAACTAGAACTTAAGTATATTCTCTTGATGTCTGCAGTAGTCCAAAGCCAGCAAGTAGCATGCTTTGACCACATCTCTCCTGCCTCAGCAGAATCTTTCTCTGAAAGCACTTTCTACAGCATCTACCATAAAAATATAAAACAGCATTATTTGGATAAAATTTATAGGCATTTTTCAAGTAACTTATTATTACTTAAGGTGGGGGAGTGTCTCACTATGTTGCCCAGGTTGGCCTTGAACACCTGGGCTTAAGTAATCCTGTTGCTTTACTTAGCTGGATAAGTTAGACTGCAGGTGTACACCACTATGCTTGGCTCTCATCCTATCTTCATAAAGCTCTTGGGAGGTGTTTGTCAGATCTCTCTCTCTCTCTCTCTCTCTCTCTCTCTCTCTCTCTCACACACACACACACACACACACACCCTAGTCATCTTAGACTGATTAACATTTAAAGAATAGAAATAGAACACTAGATACAAGCTACTGGTGATGATTCCCCAGTTCATAATCTTGTGCAATATCACATATTAAGGAACCCAGGATTTGGCCTCAGGCTAGAATCGATTACAGAGCCCTAGGTATTTCCATTATACTACAGGCCTCAGGTAATGTCTATATGTTGTAGTGGATAGATACGTACTTGGGCAGGAGAATTCATAAGCCACCTTCTCTTTTGAAGAACAGCATCCCAGTGCTGACAGCAAAAGAGATGTGGCATGCTCATTGCTGGCTTTGGACTGACAAAGATATCAGTTGTCTCAAATGCTAAGTGGGATGCATTTCTAGAAAGCCTATGACTGAAGTCTAAAAGTCAAAGTATAGCTTGACTTGTCTTTTAATAGTTCATATTTTTGATGTCTGGGATTGTAGTTTAGTGGTAGAATGCTTGCCTACATGGGTGAAGCCTTGTATTATATCTCAAGCACCACAAATATACAAATTTTAAGATTCTCTCAGCTGGGTGTGGTGGTACATGCCTGTAATCCCAGAACTTGGGAGGCTGAGGCACGAGGATTGCTTCAGGTTCGAGGCCAGCCTGGACTACACAGTGAGTTCAAGACTGACATAGTGAGACTGTATTTCAAAGACAAAACAAAGGCTAGTTGTGATGCTGCACACCTATAACCCCAGCTGTAAGTTTGAGGCTCACCTGGGTATAAAATGAGTTCAAGGTCAGCCTGAATTGCATAATGAAACCCTATCTCAAAAAAGAAAAAAAAATCTCTCCTTAGTGATTAATTACCTTTATTGCCTTAGAAAAGAGTGACTTTTCTGTGTTCAAAAGGAATGAAAAGGAATCCTAACCTCCCTCAGTTATACACACGAATCTCCCAGTGCCGGAATCTACATGCAGGAAGTACAGGTGGGGCATGGGGCAGGAGAAGAAGGCAACCTTGCAAGTGCTGAACCTGAAAATTAAACATAAGAGGACCCTAAACATCAAGCCCCTACCTCTTCTACTTCAGCCAGTGAAGAACCCAGGCAGGGGCCCAAGGTGAGAGAGACCATAGCAAAGCTACCAGCCCAGAGTGGAAGCGGAGCTAGAGCTGTCTCACAACCTACACGCAGGCCTGGATTAGGACTCTGACCCTGCCTCGTGGTATACCTGGGCAGAACACTTTATTTCTCCAATCCTCATTTTGTGCCACTAAAATTGAGATGATAGTAGCTCATGGGGCTGTTGGAGAATCAGAGATAAGGCTTATGAAAAGCTCTTACAGAGATATCCAGCAGTTCTAGGCCAGATGCTGGGCTGTCCTGGACAGATTTGAGGAGACCAAAGCAGCCTTCACTTTGCATAGGATTCCTGGATACCTAAGAATGATATACACACAGGAAACTGAGAGAAGCCAAGCCCTGGGAAGTTGGAGAACAACTTGCAAGGGAAGGTGCCCCCCTCATCTCTGATGACATGGCTAGTTCAGTCAGCCCCACCATTTCAGCTGAGCGAGGGTCTCCACAGGACAGAGTATCCTGGGTCAGACTACTGGGTTGAGGAAGAGTGGAAGGGAGTGGGTGCTGACTGGGCACCCACCCCACACCAGAGTCTGCTAGGTACCAGGGAGGCAGACACAAAACATCTCTGGCCCTGAAGAGCTTACCAGCTCGCTAGAGGGAGGGAAAGGAAATGTCAAACTCAACATATTAAATTCAATGAAAGTGTGCACCAACTCCAGCTGGGAGGAGAGGTTGGACAGTAAAACCCTGGAGCTAAGATTTGTAGGTGAGGGTCGTGGCATTTCAGCAAGAGCAGCAGGAGAAAAAGCAGACGTGGAACATAGTAAAACACGTGTGTGGATGCAAAGAATTCTGAGCACCCCAGGATGAGAGTGTTGAACTTGGAAGAGGGGCACTGGCAGAGCCAGGTCCCCCATCAAATATGCTTTGAGAAATGAACTATGAAGCTCGGGTTTATCAGAAGTGACAGGTTTAAAGCATGAATTCCTTGGACAGACTTCTGGTTTAGAAAGGTTATCAGGTAGCAGGTGGGAAGGAAGGAGCAGGACTGGAGAAAGTAGGAGGTCACCAGGGAGAAAAGGGAGAAGTCAGCAGCCTCAGCGTTCGGTAGGAGGTGAGCGACTGCAGAGGGCAGACAGGGAAGGGCAAGACTCCTTAGACTTCTGACTCGGTTCTCCCTGCCAAGAGGCAGCCCGCAGAAGGAGGTAATGTATAAATAAATAAGTACATGTCTTAAAAAATACAATTTAAAAATAAATTTTTTTAGTGACGAGCTCAGGTTGGACTTTCACAGTTCCTTGCATTTGGGGGACTATCCAGCAGATGGCAGAAAAGTGTTTAATCCAAGCTTGAGAGGTTAAGGTTCCCACGTTGTGTGTGGGAAGGTAACAAGAGAAGCACGGGGAGCCTGGAGTTAGGGAGCTAACTACCAGGCAGAAGCAGAGGCCAACCCCGTCCTCCAGCACCTCCTCCACCCTTGCCTGGCTGCCTCCCTTTTGTTTCCTGCTGTCAGCTCTGCTCAGTGGCTCCCTCCACCCCACAACCCTGGAGGAAGGCAACACTGTTGGGTACACAGGCCTCAGCAGGTCTGGGTAGTGGCCATCCACTCTGCCTGGGCTCTTCCTCAGGTCCAGCAAGGTCAGAAAATAAAGAGCAGGAGAGAAGACAAAGGCAACACTAGAGTGTTCTGGCCCTTTCAGCAGAACATCACCTTCACAGGCAGAGGAGGTGAAAGGACAACAACACATTGTGGGGCAGCTTCCGGGAGGGAAGGGTGAGGTATGGAGGAGTGTGAAGCTTGGTACAGAGCAAGAGGAGGAAAGGTCATGGGAAGAAGCTAAGAGGTTCCCTCCAGAGACTCCCATCAGGGCTGTGGGGTTGGTGTGCACTGCTGCCCACCCACTGCCCCTGGGGTGGGGACCTGGTGGGGGATGAGCCTATGTAGACAGGCATAGGGCAGTTATGTGTCCCTCCCCACCCCCAGCACTCACAACGAGAATCCTCAGTGTCTGGTTGCCCCGGAGGCCCAGCCCCAGGCTCAGTGCTCCTGCTGCAGAGATGCGGTTATTGCTGCAACATAAAAGATAGGCATCCTGCTAAGACACAGCACCAATCTAGATGTCCACTGACAGATGAACACGGGGTTTACGTCCACAATGGAGTAATATCCATCCGTAAAGAAGGATGAAATCCTGTCCTTGTCATTCACCTGGAGGACATTACATTGTTAAGTGAAGTAAGCCAAGCACTCAAGATAAGACCAGCATAGTTTGGGCTGGGGTGCAGCTCAGTGGTACAGTGTTTGCCTAGCATGTACAAAGCCCTGGGTTTGATCCCCATCCAGTGGCCCCCAAAACAAAAACTCCTGCATATTCTCTCTCATATGTGAAAATGAAAACAAAACTAAAATTAAGACTAGGGGACTGGGGAGATGGCTCACCGGAATAAGTGCTTCTCTGGCAAGCGCAAGGGCCTGAGTTCAATCCCTGGTTCCTCAAAAAATAAATAGATAGATAGATAGAATAAAATAAAATTAAGACTAAACCTAGAATAGTGACTACTAGAGACTGAAAAGGGTATGAGGAGAGGGTGGGAAAAGGAATTTGATTGGGGCATGTTGCATGAAAATATGAAGAAGACATCATACTGATCTCTGTCTCTGTGTCTGTCTGTCTGTCTGTCTGTCTGTCTGTCTCTCTCTCTCTCTCTCTCTCTCTCTCTCTCTCTCTCTCTCTCTCTCTCTCTGTTCAGGATGGCCCTTGGAGTTGCTGTTCCACCCTACAAGCTGGGCCTCACATGCCAGCTTTCTATCATCCCCATATGTAAAGATCTGATACTCTCTCGTTGGCTCCCAGTATTACAGGAGGCCTCCTGGCAAACACACCTGAAGTTGCTACCTGGTCCTTTTAAAACTCAGCAGGTGCTCCCACATGTTCTTTTTTTTATTTTTTATTTTTTACATTTATTTATTGTGTGTGTGTGTGTGTGTGCGCGCGCGTGTGGCTAGCTCAGCCCACCTGGGGACGGGACTGGCTGGCATGTGGTGCTGGGGGATCGAACCGTGGTCCCTGTGCTTGGCCAAGCTTGTTCTAAGTAGGTGCTTTAGACCACTGAGCCATCTCTCCAGTCCCAGCTCCCACATGTTCTACCCAGCCAGCACCTCATGCCTATCACCATGACATCTGCTACCGAAAATCACCCACCTCTCTGTTGACATCCTTTCTTTCCTCTCTTCCTTCTGCTGGGTTCAAACCTTGTGCCTCAGCTCTGGGATGCTTTGTCTCCAGAACCAATCCACTCCTGTCTGACTTCTTACATCCAGCTCATGATCTCTTAAGGCTGCCTCTAGCCTTGGAAAGATGGGCTGGACTGGATGGGGTGTCCCTGCCCACAGGAGCAGCCCCCGGTGAGGTATTATCTGCCTGGATCCTACCTCTTTTCTTTTCACTGTTCTTGCCCTGCCCTATGACCCAGTAGAGGCTCAAGACCCTTCCTGGCCTGGAGCAGCACTCCACACAGAGCATGTGCCTAGTAGCTATGTGTTGAGGAAAGCCTATCCGTGGGCCAGCCTGTCAGAACTATCTTGTGCTATCCAGACTAAGCTGCTCTGACAGGGACAAAGCTCACTTGGGGTGCCCATTCTGCACCAGGCCCTCAGAAGATGCTTTATGTGCCCAGCCATCATCCCCAGCCACCTGCCTGCACCATAGGAATGATAAATCTCAACATATAAGTGATGATCTTTTTTTTCCCTGGTACTTGGGATTGAACCCAGGACTTCAGTACTGAGCTACATCCCCAGCCTCTTTTTAAATTATTAGGTAGGGTCTCACCTCTAGAGTGCTGGGATTACCTGGCTATATGTCATCATTTTAAAAGAGGACAGAGCTGGGTGCTCTGGGATTGTGGTTCACCCTCCCATCCTGGGGAGATTATGGTCAGTTCAGAAATCAATGGGAATAGCAATGAGATTGTCGTGCCCCTGTCTCTGGGCTGGGAAACCCTGTGCTTCTCACCTCATGTTGAGTTCTTCCAATACATTGTTGGCCTTCAGGGCCTCAGCCACAGCTGAAGCTCCGAGGTCTCCAAAGCCATTGTAAGAGATGTCCAGGACTTTCAGGAAGATGTTTACCTAAAGCAAAAGAAAGACGCCATGGGACCCCATCTGAAGGTGGAGGAAGCTAGAAGCCACAGCCTCAGAGCCCAACAGAGGTCAGGAAGAAGGATGGGGGTCTGAGTGACTTCAAAAATCATGCAGCAGCAGGCAACAGACACGGTGATGAGATCCACACCCCAGTGGGACTGTCTCAAAGGCAAGGGACTCCAAGACATGGATCAGCCCCAGGATTCAGGGGCCAGTGAAGGGCTACTGGATGAAACCTCTCCCAGGGACTGTGATGAGGTGAAGGATTCATGTTCTGGCAAGACTGAACCTGACCGCTACCTGGCGAGGCAAGGCCCCCGTGTCAGTCCCTGTTTAAGTGGACAAGGCAGTGGGTGGCTTGCTCATGGGGACCACATGAAGTTAGAGACAGTGGCACTAGAGACAGCCATTGAAGATGCCAGTGATACCCTGGTAGGGCTTGGTTGCCCATTCCCCAAAATTCTGATTCATAACCTGCAAGGGAGCAGGTGGGATGTTTGAGAAGTTTGCTGTCACCCAAAGGTGCAAAGGTGTCATGTCAGGAGAGCATGTGTGTGTGTGTGTGTGTGTGTGCGTGCGCGCGTGCCAAATGTAAGCACCCCAGCATGTCTGTGATATCTGGAAAAGGTATCTGATATTTATCTGTGGGCCTTTCAGTAAATGACATGAGGGTGGACAAGTCCGTCTAGTCATGAAATGAAGCCAAGAAAATAAAGGTAACCTAAAGAAATATCATTTAATCTCTGCTTAAAAGACCCAAGGTTTGTTTCTGAAGAGTGACAAAGACAAGGAACTAGTACCAAGGAGACTTGTCCCCAAGGGCCAACTTGATGAGGGTCTCATACCTCCAATCCCCTGGCAAATGCTATAGCTCCTAGGCCTCGGAGGTGATTCCAGCTCATGTTAAGTTCTGTGAGTCCTGTGTTTTCTGCCAGTGCTGGTCCAAGGGTCTCTCCTTCAAGAACACCAAGAGAGACCTTATTTTGTTCATTCCTTCAAAGATAGACACTGATGTCCCTGTATGCCAGAATCTGTGTCAGGCAGGAGGTCACAGAGATGAGCTCAACATGAGCCGCCCTGCCCTCAAGGAACCCTCAACTAAAGGGGAAGATTTAATATGAACCATGGGATATGAGTTACTATAAACTACAAACAGGGAGGGGTGGAAACAGAGTGATGGCATCAGTGGGGTCAGGGAAGTAAGGATAGAGGAGGAAGTCTGAACTGAGAAATCCATCATGCTGCCACATACACAATGGAGGGTAGACACAGGAAAGAGAAGATGTACAGACACATGTGGAAATGAACTCAAGTCTGATGCTGTGGGAGGGAAGAAGGAAGCAGGAGCAATGAGATGAGGTGAGGGCACTTCTTGAGAGAGGCCAAGAGGCCCTGAATGCTGAGCCAAAGGAGCTCAGGCATAAAGAATCAGGGACAAGGGCTGGTGAGATAGCTCAGTGAACTAAGTACCTGCTTAAGGAAGCACAGGGGCCAGGGTTTGATCCCTGGCACCACATGCCACATTAGCCCCGCCCCTGGGCCTGCAAGCCCACCACTGAGACCAGGCGTGGTGGCATGCACCAGTAATCCCAGTGCCGGGGAGGTTGAGACAGGAGGATCACTAGGAGTCTAAGCTGTTGTGAGACCCTGTACCAAATACATAAAATAAAATAAATAAATAGAATCAGGGAGAACTTTAGATGTGACAATCTTGGATTAGCCTTTCAACAAGGTTGCTAGTTGCTGGCAGGCATTGGCAGAGACAGCAGCTGGGTGACTCAGGGAAGGGCTTATACCATAGTTTAAATCAGAGGTGAAGAGTGGCATAGCTATGGAAAGGCAAGAGAGGCAGAGAAAGAAAAGAGATGGTATGGGAATCCTTGAAATATAATCATACTCCCACGCCTTCTTTGCATTCTGTCAGGACTGGACCAGTCTGACTTTCCATTTCTCCGGCACTCCAGCACTCACGTGCCTTCCAGCTGACCTCCACTTTGGAGCCTGGAGTCCTATTCTTCATCTGGTAACAGCTCCTTGTCTTTCTAATCTGGGTCACAGATCAGGAAACCTTGCCTGCTTGGTCAAGACCTCTTCCAGACTCTAGCCACTAGATCTCCCTCTGCCTGGCTGGTCTCTATCAGCATTTCAGATGTGCCGCAAGGATTGGATGTGAACTTTCAGCATGATTCCAGAACCTAGCACAAGTCTAGTAAAGCTGGTTTGGAGAAATACACAGAATAAAAATGAAGCCAGATGTGGTGGTCCATGTCTGTAATCCCAGTACTTGGGATGCTGAGGCAGGAGGATCACTGCAAGTTTGAGGCCAGCCTGGGCTAAATATTGAGTACTACAGCCTGTTCTACAAAGTGAGACCCTGTCTCAAACAAACAAACCAAACTGATGGACAAACTGATCAGAGGGCTCAGGCAGCCTACTTCCCTGGCTAGCACACACTAGCAGACACATCTAGCACCTTGGAGAGCTCCCTGGGCAGCAGCAAAGACTCCTACCACTGCCCCTCTCCAATGCCCTATGCTGGATTTGATGCCCTCACATTATCAGATGTGGGTCCTTCCTCTTTCCACTGACATTTCTGGGGCTAGAAGGGGATGGTATGGTTTCCCACTTAATGCAACATCCCTTTCTTTGCTAAACAGCTAGAGTCTGAGGACTGCAGTAGTTGATGGATTGTGTGAACCTGAGAAGTTAAAAGCTTAATTAAATCAGCTCAGCAATTCCACACCCTCACGTGTGGAGGCCCCATCCTACAGTGACTCATCACTTAGAGGATATAAAAGGGAATTGAAGATGGAGAGTTCCATGTCCTCGGAGGAGCTCTTGTCTTTGCAGTCAACTTGGGCGTCTAGTGGATCCTTCAGCCTTCTGGTGTAGACTCATCAGCCTTCCATTGTAGACCCATCAGCCTCCTGATACACACTTGCATGCAATACTGCAGTGAGCTCCAGACCTTGGACAGTCTCCAGTGTGCAGACACCCTTTGCACGCTTCCTCAGCTGACTCTGTGGCTGACTGTTGTAAACTGATCCTGTAACTTCTTATACATTTGTACATCTTGTGTTATATCTGCTCCTCTAGTAAAACCCTGACTGATACAAGGATGCTTCCTCTTACACATCTCTAACTGCCAATGCTTTGTCTCTATGTTATCCTGTAAGGTGGGTGCTACCAATGCTATGGATCTGGTGGGAAATCCGAGACCCTTTACCCCTCCAGCCTCCACCTGGAGAAACAAAAATGGCCTGACTGAGTCTATCCTTTCCCAGGTCCCACACTGCCTCCCTTGTGTATACTGGGTGTTCGCTTTCTGTTGTAGGGCCTTAGCTTCTGACTGCTCCACTTTGAATGAGTGCCTCTCTGGCATTTGCCCATTGCTAGTTTGTAAAAAACAAAAAATTGAAACAGGGTTGTAGCTAAATTGCTAAATTTCCCAGGCTGGGCTTGAACTTGTTTTCTGTGCCTCAGCTTCCCAGAGTACTGGGATTACAGGCAGGCCCCACCCTTGCCCAGCTTTATACTCCGTATCTTAAGTGTCTCTCAGAGGCTCCTGTAACCTAGGTTTGGTTCCTAGGGTGTGAAATTAGAAAATAGTGAGGTCTTTAGATGGGGGCTAGAGGGAGGCTTTTAGGTCAGATTATCTGATGTGTTCTGGAAGGGGACTGTGGAACCCCATCATCCCCTTTGTTCCCCAGCCGTGAGTTGAGCACTTTTGCTTTACCACATGCTACAACCTTGCCAAAGCCCCAAAATGATGGAGAAAATCCATCATAGGCTCCAAAACCATGAGCCCAAACATTCCTTTTCTAAGTTAATCATCTTAGGTAATGTTGCAGTACTAGAAAGTAACACACCCTCTGACTATAAAGTCTTAGAGAGACACTGATGATACCTCATTCATCAAATGAGCCTCTCCTTTAATTCCATTGGCTTTCCACAGTAATTTCCTTAGAAGGCATATTGGCTCTGGTAGTTAAACTCCAGGGCCAATTTTCACTGGCCCAGGCTGGTGTTATCCCGGTCACTCTAAATGGTTTGAGACACACCAAAAATTCAAAAACTTTCCAGATCATACAATTCTCCTGGAGTATCCACTAAAATGAACATGTTTGTGCATTCCCTGAAGAATTTGGTCCATCAGGTCCAGGGCCCAAGAATCTTTACCTCTAAGCCCAGTTGCAGGAAATGATTCTCTTCTTTCCTTTTTGTGGTACTGGGGATTTAGCCCAGGACTTTGCAGACCTTAGGCGAGTGGTCCACCACTGAGTTATATATCCCAGTCCTTTTTATATTTTGAGACAGCATCTTGCTCAGTTGTCCAGGCTGCTCTTAAACATGTGACCCTCCTTTCCCAGCTTTCTGAGTATGTTCCACCATACCTGACTCTTATCTTTTGTTGTTTTGTTTCATTTTGTTTGAGACAGGGCCTTTCTGTGCATTTGAGGCTCGCTTCGAATTTACTGTGTACCTAAGGCTAGACTCAAAGCCACAGCAATCTTCCTGCGTCAACCTCCCAAGTGCTGAGATTATAGGTGTGCACCACCATGCCCAGCTTGGCTTTTATTTTTAAAAACAAGGATCTCACTATGTAGCTCAGGCTGGCCTTGAGTTACTGGGCTCAAGCAATCCTTCTGCCACCCCACACAGGTAGGACTATAGGTGCACACCACTACACACGTCTTCTAGGTGATTGCTATAACTGACTGCAGCATTTAGGAATAAGCACAGGTGGAAGTCTGTATTCCTGACAAAGAAGAAAACCTATGCCAAGGCCTGTGGGCATGAGGGAACAATGAGATCAAAAGACTCCACCTATGTCTTTTGCAGCTCTTGGAATAATCATCATACCTTTACCCTGACCTTCAGCTCAGCATCCCCTTCTTGCCTCTCCATGCCATAGACTGGTCACTCTCTTCTGGATCTTCATCCACACATGCTGGTTATTGTCAGTTTGCGAAACAGGTCTGCACACTCACTGTTAGAAATTCTTAGAAATTCCCTCCCTCTGGTCTTGTCATAGCTGATTCCTTCCCAGTCTGCACATTTCAGCTTAAATATCATTTCCTCATAGAGGCTTCCCAGCCACCTCTGTAAACCAAGGGATCCCTAATTATTTCTAGAACCATATCTGGTTTGTTTGGTTTTTTTATGCCAGTAATTATTGGGAATTATCTTGTTAACATGTGCTTCTTAAGATCAGGGACTCTGTTTTATTAGCAGTTAGATTTGTAGTGGCTAAATTGGTGTCAACCAGGGATGGCAATGGGCAATGAGATACCCAAATGAATTAAGAGTTCTGTGTGGCTCAGCTGGGAAGGGAGGAAGACAAAGGGGGTGTGGGGAGCAGAAACCAGGGCACAGATGTTCTCTGGAAGATGCTTAGTGTTCTTCTACTCCCCACCCCATCACTCCCAGAGGAAGCTGAACTTTCATGTTTCATGGCAATCCAGGCTAGTTGTTACCTGCTTGGTCATTTAGCTGGTTATAGCTGAGATCCAGGGATTTCAGACCCGTATGGACCAGCAAGAGATCAGCAAGGTACTTGGCTGCCTGCTCGTCCAGGCCATTCCCTGCCAGCTGCATCTTCTGCACTACCTGGTTCACTGCGAGGGCAGCACAGAGGACCTGGATGCCTGGTGCTCCAAGTTGGTTCTCCGACAGGTCCACATCTGGGGAACAGTACCACTCCTTGGTCAGTGGGATCCAAAGACAGCCACCTCCCTTCACCACTTTCTCCACCCTCTATACTTACAGGCTGGAAGCACAGGAAGGGGCTTTGCAATTGAACTGTCCTGGGTTTACATGGTGGCACCTCTGCTACCCATTGGCTGGGTCCTCCTGAGCCCCTAACTTCAACTTTCTTGCACCTCCATGAACTTCTCTGACAAGGGTTAAAACCACCTACCTTGTGCTGTGATGGAAGGAGAGCCACCCCACTGGTGCCTGGTGTCTGCCAGCGATAGGATTCACCCATAGGAGCCCTCTTTGCCCTATTGCCAAGGACAGGCTATACTAGTGCAGGTGGCCAGGCAGGGAGCATGTATGTGGACCAGATACTCTGCTGACCACTTCACATGTGCAATTTCATTTAATGATTATCGTAACTCCAAAAGCTAAATGGTATTGCTGGGGCCATTTTGGGGATTGGAAACAATTTTGGCAAGGTTGAGTTGGTTGCCTAGGTTAGTCCACTCTTCAGTGGCAGAGCTGGCATTTGGATTCAGCCTCACTAAACTCCCATGGTGTCCTCCCACCCTCTGTCTAGCCCATCCCTTTGTGCAAAGTCCCAACCTGAATTTTGCAAGTGTGTGTGTGTGTGTGCATGCGCACACACACCAAAGGAGGGAAGGTGTGTCAGGTTAGGAAAAGAGCTGAATCCAGCATTGGCTGGCTTTGCAATGGGTCTAACTCCACTTTCATGTGCCCCACCCCATGGTGAGGGCCTCCCCCATATCCCAGCCATACCAGTTGGTCCCAAATGAGAAGGCCTGGCCTAGAGGAAGTACATCTCTGAGGATAGGGAAGAGTCAAGCCTATCTACTTGCCCCAGGCTCAGCACCTACCAGAGATGCTGCTGTTTTTGCTCAGGACATCTGCCAGGGCCTCTGCACCTGCCCCACAGAGTCCATTGTCCCGAAGATCCAGTCGCTTGATGTAGGAATTGTAGGTCAACGTGGAAGCCAGAGCCCGAGCCCCCTGGGACAAAGCAGAAGATCCTGAAAGTTTTGTTCTTTCCCAGGGCTGAAGGGCTCAGACACATCTGGCCACTTCCAGGGCTTGTGCTTCCCAGGCTCAGCCCATTCATGTATCCTCCAATCAGAAAGCCTTCCCTACCCCTCATTCTCAAGGGCACACCTGCACTCCTGAGCTCTACCCAGAGCTCACCTCCTGGGGCTTTTTTTTCACTTTCACGCACTCCCAGGAGCCTGAAGGGCTTATGCTGATCTGTCACAGCCTCTGTCCTCTCTTGCAAAAGTGGGGAAGGGAATGCTGGCACAGAGAATGGCTGACAGTGATTGATTCAAGGAGAGACACTCTCGTGGCCACTATCTCCTGGGTACTTCCTCTCCAAGCCAAGCTCTAGTGTCCCCCACAGGTACCTGGGGCCCCAGGCCACGGTGTTGCAGGCTCAACTCTGGGGCATTTTCTTGGCGCAGAAAGCAGGAGGCAGGGACCACATTTAAGGCTTTGCAAAACCCCAGGTAGAGGGTATCCTTGACCACTTCTCCAAGTCCATGGGTGTCTGGGAGGAGGCAAGGAGACAAATGTGGACCCCTTCAATGGCATACCCTCTGCCTCTTCCCTGACCTCTGTCACTAGCTTCTTTCCCCTCTAGATACACTTCTTTCTGTGCTATTAGGACTATTCCTCATTATTGCAGATAAGGATATCATGGTTCAGAGAAAGTAAATCCCTCCCCTAGTCACACAGGGAGTCAGAGCCAGAGTTAGGATACTGCCTGTCTGATGCTAAAGTGCATGCTGTGTCTCCTGTCTCACCATTACAGATTATAATTCCTTTGTCCTTTGTTTTTTTTTTTTTTTTTTTTTTTTAGTATAGGGTCTACCGGATCTCACCACATAGATCTGACTTGTAGTGATCCTCCTGTTTTCAGCCTCCCAAGCGCTGGGATTACAGGTGTTTGCCACCACGCCCGCCCCGGGGGCCAGGCCAGCACTGACAAGTCAGTATCGAACCCTACCCCACAGAACTCTGCCTGCCGCAGGCGGTTTAGTCTGCTGAGCTATCTGGCTGGCCCCTCTTTTGTCTTTTTTTTTTTTTTTGAGGAACCAGGGATTGGACTCAGGCCACTGCGCTTGCCAGGGAAGCACTTATTCTACTAAGCCATCTCCCCGGCCCCCTCTTTTGTCTTTTTTTGACACAAAGTTTCACTGAGTAGTTCAGGCTGGCTTTGAACTTATAGAAACCCACCTGTCTCAGCCTCCTGAGCTCTGGGCTGATAGGCATGTTCCACCACACCCAGCCCATGATCACAATGTTTTATGAGTTCTTTATAGGAAGAAAGCAATTTTAAATTCTATACATCCATCAGCTTAGATTTTCCCATAGGTTAGGAAAAGCCAGCCCCGAACCCACCTTAGGGTGGGACACCTCTTCCTACAGTTTTTCTGGAGTTTGCATTTAAGAGGCATTCTAGAAATGTGTTCTTAATTGTGGGACTCCTGGTGCCAACAGGAATGAAGAGCACAGAGATAAAGGGGCCACCAGCTGTTCTAAAGATTTCCCATGCAAAAGCACGCTCCCAAGGAGCCCACGCCCCTTCCCGACGCCCTAGCCCAGCGTCCCTCAACATGGGTCAAGCCTGGCCCCCACCGGAGATGCCTTCGGTCTCCAGGTCCGAGTCCGAGTCAGCAGATGAGCCCTTCTCGGCCTCGGCGGCCTCTGCAAAATCCTCAGCGGTTGCCTTTGCTTTTTCCTCCTCTTCGACAGTCTCTTCTTCCTCCAGTTCATTGTCTGCAGAGTCCTCACAGGGTTCTCGCACGGCTACATCCATTTCGCAGACGCCCACACTGAAGCCCAGACTGCGTGACGCCCCATTTAGGACCCTGCCAGCGGATGTGGGCGGACCCTCCTTCCATAATGACCAATAGAACGTGGCATGTAGACAACAGGAGCTCGTCGCAGCCAATAGAGGCGCGCTTTACGTCTCGGTCTCCCGGGCAACCTGGTGTTGATGGTTGCCCCAGGGCGGGCTGCGGTGTGCTGACCTTGAGCAGGCAGCTCGCTCGCACTGATAAGAATGCGCGCCTCTGGCCATGCAAGGCCTGGGCGCCTACCGGGCGCTCATTTTTCCTGCTGCTCTGTGAGTTTCCAGTATCGTCCTTTGTTCATGGACGGGGAAGCGCTCTGAGGGTGGGGCACTGCTCTAGGAAGGTCTGGGGAATCTGCGGCCAGGACACCTTGCTCTCTGAAACTATTCTCACTGGAGCTCAGTTCTCTCTCATGCCTTTGCGATGTTGCTGCCCTTACCAGGGATATCTCTTCCCCAACTTTGCTTGCTGCATTTAAGATTCTGCAAATGTTAGCTCAGAGCCTTTTCCTGCACTTTTCTTTGGCCTCTTCTCTGGGTTCTGCGGCCCCCATGCAGGCCTCTCATGGCACTTGAAGCACTTGTCATTGCGCCTATAAGGAAATAAAACCAGAGGGAAGGGGACAAGGCTGCTCCTCTGTGTCTAGGGTCCCCCAGAAGGACTTTGGAGAGAATGGGAGCCCCAGGGCAGCTGGAGCTTGTGACTGAGCCCAGGGCTGGAGTGTGGAGGCTGGATTTTTCCCTGAGTGGAAATGTCCCTTTAACAAGGACTGGCCTGGCCCGCTTGGGCGCTTCTTTGCCTCCTGTTTTAGCTGTGGTTGCAGCTGTCATGCTGACTCACGCACCAGCAGGCAGCAGGAGCAGAACATGGGCTCCCTAGGAGCTGTGGCCGGCTGGGGGCTTCTGGATTACAAGACAGAGAAGTATGTGCTGACCAGGAACTGGCGAGTGGGTGCCTTGCAAAGGCTGTTTCAGCTCGGAGTCGTGACCTATGTGTTGGGGTAAGAGAGAACAGCTCTTGGGAAGGCTGGTCAGAGTGCTGATGATTGGTTCTCCTGGGCTGAAGGTTGTGGGTCTGGCTTTTTACAGCCCAGGCTGGTAGAGACAGTGGTGGGGTACCAAGTAGTGATAGGGTGGGGGTAGGCAAAAGGTTCCAGTGGTATACAAAACCAAACTGTGTTTGTGTTCCAGTGCTTATCTGCCTCTTTTCTAAGGTCTGTTCCTCAGCTCTATGTCAGGATCTGAGCACAGAAGTTGCTATGGAGTAGGAAGCAGTAGTCTCTGACATTCTTGAGAGTTGGATCACTGAGCCCCCCATCCAGAGACCACCAGTTCTATCTAGCTGGGGGTCAGAGAAGTCTGTAAGGAGACAGCTGAATCTACTGGGGCAGGGGTTGGATACTGAAAGTGCCTGTGGGTGCTGGCTCCTCAATACCCAGCTGGCCTCTGGACTGTTCAGGGAGGTGAGGCTGGAGAGGAAGTGGGGGATCCTCTGCCAAGCTGGGAGCATAGGCTGGGAGTGTCGGGTGTGTGAGGGAGGGAGTGGCCTGTTCTTCCATTGCTTACCATGTGCCAGTCTCAACACACTGTCCATCACCTCTCTCCAGGTGGGCTCTACTCGCCAAAAAAGGCTACCAGGAATGGGACCTGGATCCCCAGATTTCTGTCATCACCAAACTCAAAGGGGTTTCTGTGACTCAGATCAAAGAGCTGGGGAACCGACTGTGGGATGTGGCTGACTTCGTGAAGCCACCACAGGTGGGTCCCTCGTGCTGCTGCAGTGGGTACACAACTTCACCTGCTGACATCTCTGATGACAGCCTTTGCACAAATGGGTGCAGAAGAGGAGTGCAATGCCAGAAGAAGCTTACGAAGAGAGGCTGGAGAAGCTTAGGAAGGGCTTCAAAGAAGAGCGGTACCTAGATAGGAGGTTTCCAGGAGGATTAGGGAATGGGAAGCCAGGCTAGAGGAAATTCTGTGTGTGTGTTGGGGGGAGGGGCCTTTTTGAAGTGGACTCTCACTATGCAGCTCACACTGGCCTTGAGCTCACTTTGTAGCCCAGGCTGGTCTTGAACTCACAACAACCCTTCTGCCTCAATCTCTCAAGGAAATTCCTTTTAAAAGGCCATATCCAGACCAGGAATGGTGGTGGATGCCTGTAATCTCAGTACTTGCAAGGCTGAGTTAGGAGGATCACTGCAAGTTTAAGGTCATCCCAAGGTTTATGGCCAACCTTATCTCAAAACACGAATAAAGTTAGATGTGGTGAAATACACCTGTAATCCCAGCTCTTGGGAGGCTGAGGCAGAAGGATCATTGTGAGATTGAGACCAGCCTGGTCTACAAAGTGAGCTCAAGGCCAGCCTGAAATGCATAATGAGATCCTGTCTTTATAAAAAAGAGAATAATTAATTAAAGGGCCACATCTGGAGAGGATTGGGATATCTAGGACTCAAGGCTTGAGGTTGAAAATGGGGTAGTGGGTAGAGGGACTTAGGGCCTGAACTTCCTGATCCGCCCCTCTTACTCAGGGTACCACTGTCAAGTGTTCCTCTGCTCTTTCAGGCTGTGCCTCCACCCGCGCTAGTCCACAGCCGCAGTCTCCAGCTCTGTTCTGCTGGTGCCCAAATTGTAGCCCCAGTGATTACCTGCCTAGAGAGAAGCTGCTTTCTGGATGCACACTCATCCTGTCCAAGGAGAAATCATCACCCTTTTCTGGAACCCTGGCTGCTGCTTCTCCTCCTCCTCCTCCTCCTCCTC